TGCAGACATCGTCAAATTTATCATAATTTCTGTCTGATATGATGAGAGAGCACAGCTAGAAAACAGCTTTTTCCATGATTACTAAAAGTGTGGCAGCATCATGATTGCCTTTAAACTAGCAGAGCTTTTCCAATTTCCTGCAATCCAGCCTCATTCTGATTGGTCATGAAGGCTTTTCTGGGACCCTAAATCCAACCAGGTGCAAATTTGGGAAATTTGTAATAAAATATTCTGAAGTGAAAATATTTATTCTGAACTTTAAAAAGTTCCACAGATTGCAAAACATCATGGTAAGATATGACTGATGTATGATGCTGGATACCAGCAATTATATGTAGAAAAGTTTCAATCCAGACTAAAAGTCAAAATTAGGTTTATAATGAGAATTCAGAAAGGTTTTGTCTAAGGGTTGATTTGTGATGCCATAGATGGTTCTACCTTAAAAAGAGTGAGTCTAAATTACTTTTCTCATACTAAAGTAAATTCAAATTGCATATTTTATAATGACAGTCTGATAGAAACCATAAAAAATAAAGAAATAAATTAGCTCTTAATGTTTTTTTAGTATTGATTGTTGTTCTGGGTGAAGAGTCTCGCAGTTATTTTATGCATCATAAGCTGTAGGATTCAGAGGTGATTAGAAACACATTTTAAAGTTCTAACCACAGCCTTGCAATGCAAAAGTAGTTAAATAAATCTACACACCTGAAAAAAGTATTTACAAAAAAAAAAAAAAGGTTATTGAGTAGATTTTTTCCATTTGAAATATTTTTTCAATGTAACATTTTTTACATTTCGGAGGAAAACCAGGTCCATGCAAACATATCTTACAATAAATTAAATATTTAATAAAGAGATTTTTCAATATTTCAATAGTCTCTTAAAAATTGAAAAATGTATGTATAAAAAGAAAAAAATATTCATTTAGCACACTAAACTGAGAAAATTAAATACTCAACAGCAACAATCCAGCATGTAAGAAGTATCTTCACTTCGAAGCTACTGGAGTAAAATTGCAGGAAATTATAAAAATGATTTCCCCAATGTAGAACAATCAAGGCTAATTCCAATCTAATGATTAAAAATGTCTCTAAGGTAAACTGCTAAAGCAGAGAAAAGCTGTGTTGTGGAGAGGTGACATGATTTATACCAGAGGACTGCAAAAGAACCTGAAATAAATAAATAAACCAGCAGTAGTGTTGTGTCGACTGTAATATGTCTGGATAAATAATCACTTATCTGCATGATGAATAAAGGCAATCTTTCAGTTTAAAACAGAATCTTGTTATCTGCTGTGAACATCATGTGGTCAGGCTGTCTCTCTCTAATAGTAGCGCAGTGCAACTCTTAAATTAACATGAGTGAAAGTTGGTCAGCCAATAAAGTAAATACTTGAAATGCTTGAGAAGTATAGCTGTACATCTCTTAGAACAGACTCAATGACTTTTATTTTAGTCAAAACCTCACTGTTTTGTTTTGTGTTTTATTTTAATTGATATGGGTGTGCAGTTAAAACATGTTTAAATTAAAAGTATAAAAGCATGAGATAACTTTAAATTTGTATGTGAAAAATGCAGCAATCCACTGACACAATAATATATTAAAGATGCAGACTGGGATTTAAAAAATTTGCTCAGGCATGGAGAGAAGAAAGACTCAAGTTACCTACAGCTATATAGTACTGGATTTGCAAGCTGTGTAAAGCTGTTTTTATGTACTGTAACTCTGCTTATTTAAATGTGCAAACCTTGGTTTTTTAAAACTAAAAAAATATTCTATGAGTAACTTTAGGTAATTGCAAATGTGTGCTCAAATGCATATACAAATATACTAAAATTGCAGGGAAAAAATACACACAAAGCATTACTTCTTCGCTGGATATAAACAGAAAAAACTGGAGTTACGCACACAGAACAGATAAAAACTTTAAGAGGGGTTTGGAGATTCATTTCACCCTGGAGCCTTGCAGATGCATGCTTAAAAAAGGGAGGGAAATGTTCCTTTCCAGTGTCGCTGCATGCAAGGTTGGTGTGAGGGATTGCTGTCAAAATGAGAATTTCTACAATCCCTACATATTCATCCCGAAGGAGCAAATCCTGCAAAGTCAATGACTTGATGCTATCAGTTGGGTTTCCTGAGATATTTTTTTTAATCAATCTGTCTCCATGATTTATATGAAATTGTCCCAGCACAATGCCATGTGCTGTCACTATATATATGAACTGAATTGAATCAATGTTATTGCTATCACCTATCATTAGTAATTACCGTTGAAGTTAAGTAGGTATACTAGACAGTATTCTAATGACTCCAATTAATCAATGTTATGTAATGTAATGCACATTTCGATTTAAAGTCTTTATTACCATTCTGTAACTCACTGTCACTGTTTAAATAAGGTGCAAACATCAAAAGTTTGCAGACTTCCATCCCTGCTCTAACACGGCTGTATCAAATGACTGGAAAAGCAGACAGTATTTTAAAAGAAACAAAAGATAAAAAAGGGAAAATCTACATTTATTTTATTAGGTAATTATTTGTAAGTTTTAACCTGGATAAGTGTAAAAAAAAGAAGATATCTAAAAAATGAAATAGTCACTTTCAGACGTGTGAAAATATTACGCAGCACAACTATTTTTTCTATTGTGATAGCTGAAGTAAAACCAACCTACCTAAAGCCTTGAACAGTTAAAGCCATCATCATCATCATCATCATCATCATCATCATCATCATCATCATCATAATCATCATAATGGCTTCCTTCACAATGAAATGCTGCAACAATAATTACTTATACTACTTTGGTGCAATTTTTATTTGTAAAATGCTTATTGATTTTTTTATTTTTTTTGTACTGCAATGATATATTAAAAAATCCAGCAAAAGTACAAATAAGGTCCCTTAATGTTTCAGCTCCATCATCCAGAACAATTGGCAGACTTCCCCTTTCTACAACCCAGGGACTAAGAGGAAAGCACTCAGCTGGTGGGAGTGCAGAATGTGGGCATTAATAGATTTGTAATTAGAAGTGAACCAAAAGCATAAAAGAGGGATTTGCTTCTAATAAAATGCAACTCTGCTGTCAAAATAGAACAATATAAAGCATGTAAAAGAATACTAAAGTGGCTTAATGAATATTGGTTCTGCAAAAGAAAAAAAGAAAAATTTTATTATTTCTCTTCTATCTATGGCCTTGAAAGAAGTAAAACCATTGTGAATTCCGATGAAAGTTACAATAATAAAATAAATTCCACTCTGAGCATGAGGAAGAACTAGACATAGTACAGATTTTAGAAAATAAAAAAATAAAATAAATTGAACTTTAATCATCTAACAATGGAGATTGGAACTCTTCATTTAATTCGTTCCCTTTAGACCCAGAGTGGCAGTCTGTGGGAGTGGGTTTCAAACTAACAACCCTGAGGATTTAAAGCCCTATGCCCTGACCACTAGGCCGTTACCCGATAATACAAGCATTTTATAGACAAATAACCAAGAAGCCCTGAAATACAACCTACTTACCAACACAAATAGAGATTGGATGCTAAGATTAAACATTCGGTTTGCAGACATTGTTTTCTTACACAGGAAAAAAAAATGCAGCAGGAGCCATGTTTACATGTGCAAGATGTCATCTTTGCATAAAAAAAAAAAGTTAAAGATGTTGGCAGAAACCGGGCTGCATAGTGATGCAGTGGGTAGCACTGCAGCCTTGCAGCAAGATGGTTCTGGGTTCGATTCCTGACCCGCGGCCTTTCTGCATGGAGTGTGCATGTTCTCCCTGTGCATGCATGGGTCCTCTCAGGGTACTCTGGCTTCCTCCCACAGTCCAAAAATATGACTGTTGGGTTAATTGGCTTCTCTAAATTCTCATATGTGAGTGTGTGCGTGACAGATTGTTTGTCCTCTGTGTCTCTGTGCTGCCCTGTGATACAGTAGACTGGCAAACTGTCCAGGGTGTGACCCTGCCTCTCGCCCATTGACAGCTGGACATGGGCACCAGCACCCCTCGCAACCACAGCCAGAATAAGCATGACAGAAAATGGATGGATGGATGGATGGATGGCAGAAACCACTTATCTTAAAGAGGAAATTGCAAATTGCAGAGCAAGCCATTATTTGCAGGGACAGCGATGTGTTGCATGTAGCACAAAGATATTCTTTTCACAACAAAATACTTTTATGCTACTTCAGCACAAGTATAGTAGGAAAAAAACACTGAACTGCAAAAGAAAATTCAAATGTCCCAGCATTTAAACGCATCATGTACTCACAAATCTACAGGGCTCCTCCAATTCATGAAACCCTGTCCAAACCCTTCCTGTGAGATGTAATCTGATACATGTGTTTAATATTTGTACAAGTCACTTTGTCTGAATAATTTCATTCTGTACTTGTAATTTTTTGAATACATATTTCGAGCACACATTTGCAAATACTTGATGTTACTTTCAGAATGTTATCAGAGTTTAAAAATCATGTTTTACATGTAAAAATACGCAGACCTACTTAAAAACAGGTTTACACAGCTTAAAAACACCCAGTATTAAAGAGGCTTGAGCAAATTGAGTCTGTGTACTCGCCATACTGAGAGGTCTCCAATGGCAGTCCACAAGGGGCTACCAGCCTGCAACCTTTATATGCATCCCTGCTCTAAGATAACTGAATCAGATGATTGAATGACCTCTTTGGAATGCAATCAAATTTATCAAATGCCTTACAAATGATTAATTTATTTGATACAGCTTTATTAGAGCAGGGTTTTCCTTTGATAGACAACTTTTAATCAATTTGACTGTAGGATCTGGTGAACTTTAAAGTGCCTTGAGATGAAATGTGTTGTGAATTGGCACTATATAAATAAACTGAATTATGATTTAGCCTTTAATCTGTGTGAAGTGAAAATGGATCTAATTCTAATAGAGGCTGAAAGTCTGCAAAAACTGAGCTTATTCTTAACGGCTCTTCTTTATGATAATTGAATTAAAGCATTACTGACCTTAGACTGTAGAGGACTTGTCCATCAGGAAAGACACGCAGCATAATGTTGTCTGTTGTCGTATCGTGGATGAAGGACCTCTTAGAGTGGACGAAGAAGACGTCAGGGACCCAGATCTTCTTCACCAGGCGCCCGTCGAAGGTCATACTCTTGTTGGTGCTACTAGAGAAGGACAGACGCTCGTCCTTCCAATAATGTCTGAGGTACAGCGTCATGGTGAAGTCCTGGTGGGATTACAGCTATCATTAGGGACCATGGTGGAGGTCAAGTACTCTAAAATCAAAGTCTGTAAGTTCTAACTTATTTCTCCTTTATTATTTATACATTTTTAAAATCCATCCATCAAAATCCATATGCTGAAACATTACTAATAATCTGTATAATCTGGAAAACAACCCATTAAATGTTCAAAGGTTCCTTACCATATCGACTTCAGAGATGCTGTCTAAGCTCTCTACCTGGACGTCCACACCAACTGCGAGGGCAGGACCTGCAGTAGACCAGAGGTCGCAATGTTATCAAACCGTGCACATGAAAAATATTCTAATGGGAGCAAAACTTCTGTGACCACAAATAGGACGGAGTCAATGTGAAACATAGCCATTCAAATCAATTTCAATTCATTTTATTTATATAGCGCCAATTCCACGTTACAGTTAAACCAGATCATCCAGTCAAATTGATTCAGTTTTCAATCTAAGGAAAACCAGTTGATTGCATCAAATCATTGACTCGAATGCAATCCCTCACACTAAGCATGCTTGTAGCGACAGTGGAGAGGAAAAACTCCCTTTTAACAGGAAGAAACCTCCAGCAGAACCAGGCTCAGTGTGAGCAGCCATCTGCAGAGGCCAACTGGGGTTCAAGGAGACAGAAGCAGAGATAAAAAAAAAGCAGCTATAAAAGGCGGCCCCGTCCAGGAAACACAGCCAGGTAGACAAGCTCCGAGTCAACTCCCATGTCAGAGGATGAAGAGAGCAACGTTGATCTTTTCTATCCCAGTATAACGTTTTGCTCTCTGTCTTTACAACTATGTTCAGTTATTCATTCAGCTACCTTCAGCCAGTGAAGAGGTTTTACTACGATAACATTGCACAAGGTTTTTGGAGCTTCCCTTGTGAGCAGCACAAATGGTGTCTATTAACTCTCATTCAAATGCAGACATTCTTCCACAGACCAACACTCAGTACCTTTGTCCAGCAACGCAAAAGCATTCATAAAAGACTGAACTACCAATAAATATAACTCTCAGGGAAGGTTGCTGCCAACAAAGACATGGTCTCAGAAAAGCAATAGAGGATTGCTGAGGTATTTCATTCAGTTTAAATGCAACAAATATGGAGGAGGTAATTTCAGAGGGTTTTAGGCCATAGACATATTGCAGAGTAAAAACAGACTACATGACTGTTTTCTTGGATGCCTTATAGTGCATTTTCTAACAGAAACGGAGCAGAGGTTTCTTTTAAAAAGCAGGGTAATTGGTGCAGACATGTCTTTTAGGTGATTAAACATTTCTCAGAGCATCAGCCATAGCTGGTTCAAGAAATCCTCATGCATCCGCTACAACAAATTACCAAACAAACAATAAGTGTAAAAAGGCCAGTCCTTCAAACAATGAGAAACATTCAGTTTGATTACGGCTGAACACAAATCTCCCTCAGACAGACTGGGTGTTGTGTTACAGCCAGTTCCTGGGTCCCAGTCTCATTTTTCTGTCTACTCTGGAGTTTGTGGGGTGACAGCTGTGGGATGGTGGAACAGATTGGTGCTAATCTGAGCTGTAAACAGAACGAACCGCCTCCAGCTTTAATCTGCAGCCGCTGGGCCTGGCATGCAGCCTGCCAGTGCTGCGATCAGCCACACCGGCTGAAGCTGACAGTCTCTGCAAACCAGACCTCTGCAGATTGTTTCTGGATGTGAAACACCAGTCGCCATCCATCACTGAGAAATACTATTTCAGCTTCACTAACAGGAGACGAAAGGCAGAGCTGATATTGCTTCAGAGCACAAAACTACTAAAGAGCTCATTTGTCAGCTATTAGCTCAAACTCTGAAGTGATTTTTCACACTTTGAAGAGTTTTAATCCAAAGTGAAATAATAAATCACAGTACAATTGCTTTATTTGATGTTCAGGGATTGACCTGATCGTGTAATTAAATCTCTGCAGTGTTCAGGCTGGAGCTGCAGCTTCTCACACTCGCTTGCATCATTTCTAAAAACAGCCTCCCACAACAAATAAAAATAGGAGGGAATTTGTGCGTTTCAGTGATGCATCCATGGCCCTCTAACCTTTTTATGACGAGTAAGAGATTAGAAAGTGCTCAGTGGCAGCGCTCCCACAGCGAATGTGTCTGATGGCTCTGCTGACTGTCTCTGAGTAAATCAAAGCAGCAAGACGCAGAGCAGGGAATGTTGGGGTGACAGTGTAGAGAGTAAACTTAGCTGATCAAACTGGGAGTCAGAAATAATAAATATCTCAAGCTTTATATAGTTGTAAACATATTCATCAGAGAAAAGCTGTACTGTTTCTGTTCACTGCTCAGCTGCTGAGTCTAGGTCCCATTGTACACTACATTTATTGCTTTTTGAATCGAGTCATTTAAAGTTTTAGAAGCCAAAGGAGGTCAGAAAACCTGAAACCTGACTGGAAATCCTGTCAGAATGTGAAGATCAGAAAATTCAAATGCAAAAGCAGGAGATGGATAGAGTTCGTTAATGAAAATCATAACAAACGAGGGTCTGACATGATTTGTACAAGGTATACCTGATAAAAGTAGGGATTAAACATATCCACAGTTTTCACTTACGATCTGATTCCAACACTTTAATTTGGAACTGTGGATCCTATTACCTCTCCAACAGGCTGCCAGAGCTCTGATTGCTCCAATGTAATCAGCATTTCTTTTGATTTTACTAAAATGCTGTAGTAATCTCCTCTCTCTCTGCAATCAAGTATGCTATGTATGAATGTATCCATGTATATCCCAAAAGACAGCATGAGATTAGCAAAACATCAGAAAAGGAAGTCATTAACACAGTAACCTGTGTTTACAGGGCAACTTCAAACCTAAAAGAAAAAAAAATACAACCATAAAGGTTCAAATTGACTATGTTTTTTAAATATAAGATGAATCCTATAAGGAGGGTAAAATGTACAGCTATTCAAGAGATTTTTTACCTAAATTAAATCTGATATAGAAAAAGACTGAATAGACCAGCCTCTATGGATCAGGCCAATTTCAGTGATACCTGATCTACAGTTTTTTAAAGATCATTCTTCACAATACTTGCTCATACTCTTTGGTCTTGTGTTATCATCTTATTGGTATGATATTTTTCAAAGATTTCCTAAAGCCTTGAAGAAGACATTTAAACCAGACCCACTGGTTGCCATCTTGGGAGGGACAGGGTCTCTGCTTTTGGCTAATACATTTGAGGCTCAAGCTGTCTCTTTGTGGAAGGTTGTGGATAAGAAAATGATTCCACAGATGTTGAAAAGTGACTTTGCACCAAGCTACAGTACGAGATGTGGCTAAGGGAAATAGGGAACGTGTTTAGCCTGGAGAAGATCACGTATCACAACATGGGCAAAATGAAATACTCACATTTTGTCCATGTTGTGGTAAAAATGTGAAGACCTGGGATCCTCTATTCTCCTACATAACAGAAAAATACTGACTCCTGTATTGCAAAACCTGAATGCCTCCCATGCACTGTATTGTCACACTATATCAATGACTGTGATAAATATTTGTCAATATGTGCTCTGTTCTGTGTGTAACAAAAAAAAAAAAAAAAAAAAAATATATATATATATATATACATATATAAATATATGTATATATATATATAAAGATTATTCTTTAGGCTCTAGTAACCTTTATATTTTAGTCTTTGAAAGTAGGTGGACAGCATTGTAAGCAATTTCCATAAATTCACCTTATAAAGCACCTTACTGTATTTATTTAAAGGAATTTCCCGTGATTAGATTTTTTCCCCCCGGATCTTTCAACCATATTTATCAGAGACATTTAGGTAAGAAAGTTCTGCCAACTCCACTGATGATAATGGGCAACATTTTAGAGTCATTTACATCAGAGCAACATTTAGCAAATTCGTAAAAAAAAAAAAAAAAAAAAATGGATGTGGCAGAAAACTACCAGGACCATTTTTTTCCCCTTCTTTTTTTTTTAGCACATTTAAATAGTATACTTAAATATCAGGATACTGCTATTAAACTCAAATTTATGCATCTCTACAATACAGTGGCAGTTAAGCAATTAAGATCCGAAGAAGGTGCTGATTAGAGAACAAGGACTTAAAGTTTGGTGGAGAAATTGAGGCTAAAAGAAAACAAATTATTTATGATTTCAGATTTCAAAACAGATTAAAGGAGAAATAACTCCACAGCTTCCCAACTGCACCCTGTGAGAAGAGCAAAAGCTTTAAGGGCAGAACATATTCTGTAATTATAACTTCATTTAAAACATAAACAAATGAATGCTTTTGTTTTTAAGCAGTAACTTTAGTGAAGTACAGAACACGTTTAATGGATCAATCAGAGCACAGTTCCATTAAACTGATAGTTATGGACTTCACTCCCTCCCTAACTGTGTTCAGTTGCATGTTGTAAAACCAGCAGGATTTAATGTACTCAGGAAGTATTTCTATGAATTCACCTACTTTTTCCTTGTTAAAGAGCCAACATAGGATTTTTGTCTAAAAATAGCTGAACCTTATAATAAAGGTCTTGAAGCAAAGATTGACAAAGCTATGATAAAAAAAACTAACATTACACTGTATTCACTTAGCTAAAACATGTCAAAATATCCAGATGCTTCTTCACTGACTATTTCAAAAGCTGTCCGAAGAGTAATGCTTAGCTTTAGGCACACCTGCACTGAATGTAATTGAAGCGTTGTGAATGAAGACAGAATAAAAACAAAAATGCTGAGAAGACAACGGCTTAGAGCTACTTATGGGAAAGGAAGAAGTGCAGAAAGAGGCACATGACTAAGCTGATCAAATGAAAGCCATTCAACATTGATCTAAATTGTCATAAACTATAGCGAGATCATAAAGAATAAAATGAAAAAAACACCCTAGCGTCTGCCTTCAGCTCAGTAATCTGTTTTTTATTATGTCACGACTTTTGCACATTCCCGTAGCACAGCAGCCAATATCCACTTGGGAAGCAGAGGGAGCAATTCAAACATCATTTCCTCCACAATCCTGATTATTACAAACCCTACAGGACCCTTGTGGTTAAGTTTGGCATTTACCTTTCATATACAACCCTGATTACTGATATATAGGACACATGAGGACCTGGAAAGGCCTTTTTTACCCTGATTGCTGACTGACTCCTCTCTGCTCTCTGCTCTCATCCATAGGTATGCTGCCACCTTCTAATTTGTAAATTTTTTACCTACACATCACAGCACTTTAACATATCTCCTCCATCATGAATAATTTAGATTTTAATCATA